GTATGGAACAAACAAAAAGTTGTATAAAAGACTTGAATCGCTGGTTGAGTACACTCCATAAATTAGCAGATCATCATCTCACTAGAATGCATGGTAATAAAAATGGACATAAAGCAACGAACCTTTGTGGGTTGTCTAGACATACATCATCGACAGAATCTTACCATTATGAAAAGATATATGCATTTGATATTCCAAAAATATACAAAATGAAAATGAATTCGAAGACACAAGCTATGAATATATTGCCCTTGTTTGAAGATCGGTTACATCGAAAAAAATGGGTGTGCGATCGATATTGCCAAGTTGTGCGGAATGAAGATGTCTTAAAGGATTATAAGAATTTCCTTGAGCGTCTAGCGGTGCAAAGGTTACAGACACTCCATGAGTTTTTGCAAGGCTGTTTCTTCAAATTCACAAAATAAGTGGGGCCACTTGGTTTATTGTTACCTGCAGCAGAATCCATGTCAATCTTTGTTTTTCACTGTTGAAATATTAGCATCCCACTTTCCCATCATGAGGAATATTAAAAGACTTTTATATAAGCTAAATGAAACATTCGGGAAGTTATCTGATCTAAACGATGCTTTGGAATCAATGATTTTGCAGATATTAAAGAAGATATCCAATGATATGAAGAGTTTATAATGATTTAAATTTTAATTGACCGCTTCATCAATCGCGATGGACAACGAGGTGCGGCGCTGGAGTCACTGGAGCATCGAGGCAAGTTACCACGAGGGAGTCGGTCTCTTGCGCGTTGGCTAGCGAAGCGACCGATCGTGTTTTATACAAGTTGCATAGTCAGTTAGCAAAAGCATTTAACCTAATTTTTCTATTCTTCGATTTTTGAAATTTATTGTGATTCAATATTATCTTGTTTATCGTTTTTGACTAATTGTTTCATGTGACAAGTACCTCAAACAGAGGACTAGATTAATACCATTTACGTAGGAGTAATATTGTTTATTTGAACGTTGAATATTTATTGAAAATATAATTTGTCGGGAATTGATAACATCGCGTGGTATGTGGTGTGTGTGTGAGGTAAGAGAGAATTTTAGTATTGTAATCCCGCGATGAGAATTGGATGTGGTAAATAATTGATGGAAATTGGAATTCAAAATTTTGCTAAATATTATTTATATGATTGATACTTGACGAACGAAACAATGAACAAAAGGAGTCGCTGATGGTTATGTACACGAATTTCTTGATCAATTTATGAAATAATATGACTCGTACATGAATTAATCTCTTTCTATTTTATTTATTAGTTAATACATATTCCCATCGACCACTTGATAAAATAGTGTGGCAAATTTTAATAAAATATCTCCTTCTTGAGAATAAATTCATGTCTTCTATTTTTCGAGAATAATAAAAATAAAAATTCATGAAATAAATATCCTGAAATAAAGAACATAATATTAAAAAGTCCGGACAATCGTTCGACTCTTCCACAACAAAAAATGATAATTTGGATGAAGATATGATACAGGCCAAGCATAAAAATGCCTTTATAGTAATAGCCAAGCGGGGTATCGCTGAATATTCCATGTGTGCATTGGGCAAATCTGTTAACCTTTGTTGAAAAAGATCTCTTCTATTTTGGTGATTACATCTGTGACTATTGCTTGGGAAAATTCCGGAAAAATCAGTTACCATCGACTTGCATTTTGAATAATCAAACCGTAGGCGATGTCCCTGAGGAGATAAGAAATTTGAATGACTATGAGGAATTACTTCTTCAAAGAGCGAAGGTATTTCAAGTTGTGCAGAGAGGGGGAACAGTCCAAAAAAGGAACGTACCACTATGCGAATCCAGAAACTGAAAGGCCAGACGTTTCACTTGCTGTTGCCAATGGAAGAAACCCTTGGTAAAATAGCTTCAACAACTGAACCTATTAATAAAGATCATTAGTTGTATATTTTAATTCGAGGAATTCCTACCAAGGCAAGTATTGTTTGGCAGAAATTGGTGAATATGGAGAAGGTCTTGTTAGCCTTGAAATGGTTACAATGTCATAATCCTCTGTATGCTAATATCGAATTGCCAGAAACAGCTCAAAATCTGATGAAATGTTTATGGAAGGACGATGTTGAATATCACGTAGAATCAGATGGAAACAATACAGATGATGACACAGATGATCAAAATAAAATTGTGACTGTCAGTCAGGAAGATGTGAACGAAGAAACTAGGGGAGAAAAATTGTTACTTGATGTGACTGACGATGAAAATCAATCAATAAATGACAGAAAACGGAATGAAAGTGGAGAAGGAGCAGTTCTATCGCCTCGAGGTGATGAGGATCCTCCTAAACCATCCCCGATGGTTACTCAGATTTTCGAAGACCCACAGCGTTTCAAGCAATATACTGTTTATCCAATGCATGATAAACGAGTGAATGACACCGCATGTAATGTATACCAAATAAAAAAAGTACGAGATATACCATTGAATTATAACTTGAAAAAGTTGGATTTGTTGTGTTTTCCCGATCTATATCCATATGGCGAAAATGGTCAAGGTGAAGAACGCAATACACATATTATGGAGCAGGAATATATTAAAATGCGTCTCTGCTCAAAAATACCCCGTTTCCGATTAAACCAACAAGATTTATTTTATCTGTTGAATAGTCCTAATATAAGACAAATCAACAGTGGTATTTATCATACTTTGCACGTGATAAATCCACGGCAGAAATATACCGCTGACAGTTACTTGCAACAAATACAAAACGGAACGGCGGAAGGGAATATGAACACGCTTTTCGAACGTCTTCGTAATTCCGAACAATACTGACGCAAACTACGGAACAATTTGAAATGCATGGCTAAACATTATGGACCAGCGATATGGTTTCTTACGGTCAGTCCTGCAGAGTGGAATTCGAAAGATATGGTTTTACATCTGCGCAGAATTGATGCTCCGCATTTGGACAACTTATCTGATGGTGAAGTGATCGCAGCAGATCCTGTTTCTGTATCTATATATCTTGACATGAAATTTCATGCTCTGCTGGATTTCCTTCTATCAGATGACCATCCCATTGGAAAAATTATACACTATTTTTGGCGAAGAGATCACCAAGGGCGTGGAACCCAACACTTCCATTTATTGATATGCGTTGAAGAGGCACCAATCGTCGGTATCAATTCCAATAATTAAGTAGTCGATTTCATTATGAATCACGTTACTTGCAGTACACCTGATAAAAGAATTTCTACAACTTTATACCGCCGTGTTACAACGCATCAGAAGCAAAACCATAACAGTTATTGCTTACGATCAAAAACAGAGAAATCTGGAAGAATAACAAAAAAATGTCGATTTGATTTCCCACGTTCTGAAACTGATAAATTCATATTGCGTGATCCTGCCATTTCGATCGCTGGTCGAAAGAAATTGAAGACGAAATCCAGATTCTATGACCTCCCTCGAAGTAAAGAAGAAGTTTTCACTAATGATTACAATCCAGCAATTCTCGTTGCATGGGAAGGTAATATGGATATTCAATTTATCGGAGAAAGCTCATCTCTTTTAACTCAGTACTGTACGAAGTACTCCACAAAATACAAAATATCAAAATCGTCTACTGTTATTGAAGAAGCGACATCTACAAAAACAGTGAGACAAAAATTGTGGAATGCAGGGATGCGGGCTCTCCAACATCGTGAACTCGGAGCTCTTGAAGCTGCTGACACGCTATTGGGAATTTCATTATATGGAATTGATGCGAACACCACCATTAAATGGTTGGATGTAAGAATGGTTCGAAACCGAAAAGGCAAGAATGACGACGAAATAAAGAAATTAGAGAAAAAATCGACAGATATCTTTTGCCCCTCATTTATTAAAGATTATTATCCTAATCGTCCCAAAAAACTCAATTCGTTATGTCTCTACGACTTTTGTAAGTGGTATGACGTTGTTCGTACAAAACCGAAAACTAAAGGGATTGAATATTCCACGTTGAAACCTTCTTTATTTTTGAAGAGACGTGATCGGGGTTACTTGATTAATCACTGGAGACACAACATTAATACTGAGCCGGAAAAGTATTTCTTCACTTTGCTATTACTATTCAAACCTTGGAGTGATACAGATGAATTGCGAAAATGTTTTCCGTCCTATACTGAGGCTTTTGAGAATGAGAAAGAATCTCTTGCTAAAGCCTGTGAATATCATAATGAAATGGAGAGTTTCCAAAAAGGATTAGATTACATTTTAGAACAGATCCGTAATGAACTCAACGAACACGCAGGTGAAGAGACACAATCTCCTTGGATCCAGGTCGGTTGTGATCCGAAAGAAGGCAAGATAGCTGTGAAAGAGTTCAATGATATGGAGGAAAAAGTAGTAAAGAACATTGATTTGAATGCTATGATGGCAAAAATGAATGTTGGCCAAACAAGAATTTTTGAAAAAGTGAAACATACACTATGTTCCAAGAATGAAATATTGCATCTCTATGTCAGTGGTGAAGGTGGTACAGGGAAAAGTATTTTAATTGAAATGATAGGAACTTGGATTAGTAAGGAAATGGATCGGAAAACAGCAGTCACAGCTCCAACAGGTATAGCAGCTTTCGATATCAATGGTTAACTATCCACAGATATTTCTAACTCCCTATAGAACATGATGATACTCCAAAATATAGGCAGTTATCTGATAATTTGTTGAAACTCACGCGTGAGGAAATGCGTGATGTTGAACTCATCATAATTGATGAAATATCAATGGTTTCCAACACTACTCTTTTGTATATCAATCAGAGGCTCATGGAAATATTTGACACATTTGAAGAGAATGATGGTTGGTTTGGTAAGCAACACATCCTCTTTTTCGGGGATTTGTTTCAACTTCCACCTGTGCGCCAAGATCCACCTTATGTAAAGTTATCATGGATTGAGGTAGAAAAACGATGTGGATCCGTGTGTAGTATAAATATGTGGGTAGATCTATTCAAGTCTATGAGTTAACGATAAATATGCGGCAACAGAAAGATCGAGCTTATGGAGATCTTCTTTCCCGATTGAGAGTTGGTGCAATCACGGCTGAAGACATGAATTTATTGGAAACTCGAAAATTCGATATAAAATCACCGAATACAGTAAATCGAGTTTGTCTCCTTCCTTCGTACATGAAAAATTTGCCTCCAGATATCGTGTGTTTACTGGCAATCCGTAAACAATGTGAATGCTTGAATACTATCATGTTGGAAGAGCTTCCCACTGATAAAATAGTACTTATGGCTGAAGACTCAATTGAAGGTCGTAATCCCAGACTAAAAGCGGCGGCTAAGAGAATCCTCGCCAAGGCGGAAGAAGATGACCGGTCGTCTACTGGCTTGGCAAAAATCATAACCATTAAAATATGGACAAAGTTTATGATAATACGAAACATTGATGTTACCATTGGTCTGGTGAATAGAACGATAGGAGTTATAACTTCCGTCTCCAAATGTATTGACAAAGCAGTGGAGCAGGTCCAGTCGATAACCATACGTCTATCATCCGGACAGGAATGTCAGATTGAGCGTATGGATGTAAAGTTCGAGATTATGAAAGAAACTTACATTACAAGACGCCAGGTTCCGATTTCTCAGAGTTATGGAATTAAAATTCATAAGAGTCAGGGATTGAGTTTACATAATGCTGTCATGGATGTGGGGTAGACAATATTTTCTTCCGGTCAAACATATATTGCTCTTTCAAGGGTATCTACTCTGGAGGGGATTCATTTAATAAATTTCCATCCATCATCAGCGAAAGCCTCCACAGCAGCCATTGAGGAATATAATAGACTCCGAGCTGAATTCCGATCCGACTTAGCGCAAATCCCTTTGCCTCATAAATATTGGCCGAAGGAATGGGACACCCAATGGGCGTTTGGAACTGGATCTATTGACGAGACGAATATTAAAAAGGAAAAAAATGATGTTAAGCCATCTGTTAACGGTTTGTGTAATGCCGACGGTCGCTCCAGTTATGCAAATGCAGTCATTCAATATCTCTTCCATTCTTCTATCATATGTAAAGAAATATTGCAAACCCCTGAAGGTGAGGCAGCAGTGATTCGTGAATTCCTCCGCAAATACATAAAAGGATCAGAGGTTTTAGATGCTAGCATGCTGAGGCAGTTTGCAGGAGGTCCACCGTGCCCAGAAAATGAGCAGGATCCAGTCACATTTTTAGAATATATGGGCAAAATGTTGGTGGTCTACGAAAACATATCCAACAGAATCTAAGTCATCTCGATAGATGTAAGTCATATGATTATACGAAGACTTACAATGTGAAGAATTTGTGAATAACTATATCAATAAAAGATACAAAGCAACCGATAGCTTTGGATAAATTGATGAATAAATCCTTTCCTCATTGGACTGATGTCGTTCAATATTATGATACTTGTGGACATATCACAGACTTCTCACGTAAAACAAATATAAGTGGTAGTAACGCAGTCGCTATTGTCAAAATAGACATTTTTATGTACAATAAAAAAAATATCAGACAGTAAACTAGCAATTGGAAGATAAAAGCAGTTCCAACAGCTGTAGTGAGTATATGTAATAAGTCGTATTGCGTCAGCTGTGCTGTATTATACAGCAATGTAGAGATGAATGATCACTACACTTGCTTGTTGAGAGATAAAAAAAAGTGATTGGATACATGTCGACGATTTAAGCATTACAAAAATGCAATGGCCGAGAAACTCTAAAGTGGTTTATTTCTTGTTATTGGAATAATGTAAAGCCAAAAAATTCAAATAATATTCCGATGGCGAGGAGGATATCCATAGTACTAAAATCACAGCATATCGCTGTCCCAGAAGTACCTAACCTGTCAATCGTCATTAGTCGAACGAGAAAAAGCCTAGCAATTCTCTTACTTAAAACGTGATGCTATCCTTGAGAGAATTCATTGGAATTCTTCCGAGTCCTCCATTAGTACTCATATTTCATAAATTATTGAAATCTTGCCAAGGAAAAATTTCCTGAAGTGGCATCGTCAGGTAACCGGTTCAAAGCGTTGTTCTTGAAGTAGGAAAAACGGTATAAGAAATGAGACGGTTTAGAAAAATTCAAAGAGAATCGTCCCCTCATTTCTCCTCATTTCTGTCAATAATCGGTGATATATCTGTCAATAATTAAAATTTAAAAAATGACTGAAATGGGCCAAAAAAAAAATTTTTTTTTTAAAGCGCCAAGTAACGATTTCGACGTACTGTGGTTGAAAAAATTCAAGGTTCTGTTATTGAAAAAATGTTGAAAAATTTCAAAGTGCCGTTGTGGAAAAAATGTTGGAAAATTTCAATGTGCTGTTGCTGAAAAAATTTCACGACCTCATTTGTTGTTTATTGACCTTGATGAATTAAAAAAAAAAGGAAAATAACAAAGGACGCCATGTTCTTGAAGTTGAGCAGGACATATTTGAGGACGATAAAGTTTTTTACAGGAATGATACAAACAATCAGGGTTTTTACTCGTACATTCAAAGGTTTTTTTAGTTTCGCCTTATTAATTCCAACACCGTATAGCTAATCCGTATGAGTCATCGAAGGTTGACAAGGGTCATAAAAAGTGTGGTTATTTTGAGAGGTTAATTACAAAGAGTGGAAATATGAGCGGTTTCTCGAAAAGAAATGGTCAGAAAAATATTCAGCACCAACGTACTTGGCGCGGTTTTTTGAAATGCCCAATGCGGCATTTCAAAAAACAGTGGGCATTATCTCGATACCACGGCACTCTACTACTAGAATTGAGGCCATGGCCGCTTGATTCTGTCTTCCTTCGCTCTTCACCTTCCGTGGCTGTAGTCTGATCGCTGTCGTTTATATGATCAATATATGTGGACGTCTGCATGGAAAGGGACCACTTTGTCGATTCTATTTTCCGAGATATTCACGTTTTTCGCTTGTCAACTCCCATTTAAACCCATGTTAAATTATTTTTTCGATCGTCTATAGCGTCGTCACTCTGTACGCTATCAAGTTCATTTTTGGCTAAATGTGCAGAATCAGATCAAGATTATCGGCATATACATAACTCTAATAGTGTCAGAGTGGTCCCTTTTCATGCGGACATCCACCTATATTGATAAAAATAATGTCATAATATGTGATAGTAGGCAAGGACAGATTGTTGAAAATTCGTTCAGATACAATGCGATATAAGTTATCATCCCAGAATATCTATGTCTGCCAGATTTAGGAAAATGTCAGTGTGCCGCAGAATGATTCCCAAGTTTCTATAGACAACTAATACGAAAGACTCGAAGACCGGGTTTCACATTCAAGATAGTAGTGGTAGCAGTAGCAGTACCGGACATCTATCTCTTTTTACTGTACTGCAGTTCGGTAATTTATTTCGAAACCCATGCTAACAATCATTCATGCTAACGATCCCATGCTAACGATCATTCATGTAAGAATCAAAAACCGCGCCAAGTACGTTGGTCCTGACTATTTTTCTGACCATGTTTTTTCGAGAAACCGCTCATATTTCCACTCTTTGTAATTGACCTCTCAAAATAGCTACACTTTTTATGACCCTTGTGACCCTTCGATGACTCATACGGATTAGTTATACTGAGTTGGCATTAATAAGGCGAAACTAAAGAAACCTTTGAATGTACGAGGAAAAACTCTGATTGTTTGAATCATTCGTGTAAAAAGCTTTATCGTTCTTAAATATGACCTGCTCAACTCCAAGAACTTGGCGTCCTTTGTTATTTCCCTTTTTTTTAATTCGTCAGGGTCAATAAATAACAAATGAGGTCGTGAAATTTTTTCAGCAACAGCACGTCGAAATCGTTACTTGGGGCTTTTTTAAAAAATTTCTTTTTTCAGAAAAAAGCTACAGCAAATGCCTCATTTCAACCAGGTCAAATTAAAAATGTAGAACTGAGAATGAAATGTTTTCACACATTCATTTCTCTTCAATTCTTAACAATTCCATACAAGAAAGGAAAAACTCATTCCTTCACACTTTTACTTTTTTCTTACCTCTGTTTCTGACCTATACTTCCGACTCCAATTTCTGACTTTTTTCTGACTCTTATGTCTGATGCTTATTTCCTTCACCCTTATTCTGATCCTTATCCTGATTCTTATCCTGACCGCATATGACGTCCGTTATCACCCCATATGACCTCTATCTGACCCTCATATCACTCTAACATGGTCTCAATACGACCTCAACATAAAACCCATATGAGTCTCATCTGATCTCCATACTATCCTCATATGACATATATGACTCTTATCACCCTCATTCTGACCTATATGAACCAAAATTTATAGTAAATCCTATCGAAAATCTCATGAAATCCTATACGAAATCCTATATAAAATACAGTAGGAAAATCCTGATAAGGAATCCTATAGAAAATCCTATAAAATATCCTATAGGAAACATTATAGGAACGTGGTTATGTCATAGGTACGTGGTCCGTACCAAACTGTAAAAGATACTTGGATATCCTTAAGCAAAAAGTGAGATAACTCTACATTATTGGATACTATTGATAATCATTTATACTGTCATTTCCCGTGATAATCAGTGAAATCACATTTTTCAATTACTCATTATTTGAATAGCGAAATATTCATATAATGACTTTCGATCTAATAAGTGGTGATAAATTTTCCCACCCCCCACGGCTGATTAAATATGTAATAGAAATTTTCCCATTACTGATTAATCAACCAATGAAAATTTTTCCACTCCCCGTTATTCATTAGAAAAATAATGAAAACTTTCCCATCTTTTATTACTGATTGAATTATAAAAACATCAGGAAAATTTACTATTAAACAATTACTGGGTAAATGACATTTTTCCATTTTCGACTAACAACGTATTATAAACTTCATTTCTATCATTAGGAACGAATAAAGTATTGAATTACTATCAATATAATTTTGATATTTTACTTATTCCGGCATTCCGTTTGCATAAGCAAATCGTTTGCGTCCTCACAGTTTAAGGTTGTATTGTAGTTCCTTGCTCACTAATAAACGGCGATAATAAACCAGTTTATAATCGCCGTTTATTAGTGAGCTTCTGAAGTGTCTCATTGTATGCCGGATCTGCTGCGACCAGCAATATGGGTACAATGTTCTGCATTGCTGTTCTCCGTGCACAGGTCACACCGTAACTCCTTATATTTTGTAACGTGATATTTTCGAGATTTCGACAGTTCAGCGATTGTCGGGATTTTCCATACGAGAAGTCACTTTATTGGCGAGGCAAGAGTCATTTGATTATTCTTTACGGACTTTATTAATGTGTTATGTATCGAAGCGTTGTCTGACCGTTCATCAGATCACATCGTGGGATGGAATTGGGATTATCACGTAGAGTTGTCCCACTTCAGCAGCCATCGTCTCAAGCTGTTTCGTCCCTCTTGTGTCATCAGTTCTTCGGGACTCAGCGTTTCTGATCTCTTCCGCTGGTACAGCGATCTTTGTTCCTCAGCTAGTACCTCTATGCGTAACATTCCCGCGATGACACACACTGCGTCTTCGGACATCGTCCGGTATGCACTCGCAACTCTGAGGACACTCAGCTGATAGACTGGTGCGATCCTACGTCGCGCTTCTTACAGCTGGAGTACGTCAGCCCAAATAAGGGATGCCATATGTGAGCACCGACGTAACCAATGAAGA